GCATATACATATATACATACATACATATATACACACATATTAGTATTATCAATGAGATAAAATATTGAAAATCAACAATGCTGTGTGAAGCATGGCTGGATCTCAGTAGAGATACAAATTTGATGAGCGACATCTAAATAGAACAAGAGCTTTTGGACAACAACTTATGAGGCGCCAAATGTACTTTCATTATTTAACAAAATTATATACATATAATTCATTATTTAATATAATTCAACATTTGTTCATTATATACATTATTAACATTTGGCGCCTCATATAGTTCTGTCTGTAGTCTTTCAGCTGTCTCTATAGTTGTCTGTATAGTATTTCAGATACCTGCAGTTGTCTGTAGTCTTTCAGTTACCTGCATAGTTGTGCCTGTTTCCTTTCAGCTACACGTAGTTGTGTCTGTAGTTACAGCTATATATGTAGTCTTTGACTTACCTATTGTCTTTAGTCTTCCAACTGTTCTTATAACATTGATTGATTGAGTATGAGCATGGTTTGGAAAAACTACCAAAGTACCAAAAGTAAGGAGTCAAATTAAAATACAAAATCGGTCAATACAAACTTTTATTTACATGAATCTGTTTTTAAGAAAAACAAATGTATGAATAAACAAGAGCACTCAGTGGAGAGCATATCTCCATTTACCGCCAATCTCTCTATTAACAATTTCTCAAAAATATGTACTTTCCAACCACCAACCACAATCTACTTTAAAACAAATTACACTAACACGATATCTGGTATGCGAAGTTTTGCTTTGAATGGTCCAAAATCGACGCCAAAATAATGTAATCACTTCACTTTTCGAACGCCTTTTAATGGTACTGTATCAGACACCTGTCAATTCTTGGTTAACTTACTGGTTGAAGTTTTACTCTATAACTGACAAACAAATGCAATGTATTGGTGTTGAAATGGAAATATTTTGGGAATAGAAATACGGGGATTTGGTTTTTAGCGTCACATGTTTAAATATAAAGATGAGTTGAAAATATTCTCAATAAGTAACTATTCTGGGTAGTGTCATTTAGAGTCATTGATTATTTTTAGAGATATTTTAGAGACCAGGATTTAATCACCTCATCCTTGGGTCATATCTGACAATCCCTGTAACTTCCATATAAGATCTGTTCAGCTGTTTTTGAGATACTTTGAACACAAAAAACACGCACGACCTTAAAAATTTAAATGACCCTTAAGTTCGCCCTCGAATTCGAATCGTGACCAACGCTTCATAATTTCTTGTAACTTGGTTAAGCGTTCACGAAAATTTCATTCATATCAGTTGATTAGTTTTTGAGATATTTTGTCTAGGACGTTTGCTCTAAAGTCCCTTTAAATGGCCCTCACATCCACAACGGACCGTCACCGAAATTTAATCATTTTTTCATCGGGTTATACCAAACACTCCCTGTAATTTTCAGTTATGTCTGTGCAGCCGTTTTTTAGATATGTCGTACACAAAAAAAAAAAAAACACACGACACACACCAAAACGTGACACACACACGCACACGCACACACACCCATACCCACACACCCACCGACACACAAACTCACACGACTGAAAACATATATCTCCTGGCGGGGATAATAAGTTTCTTCTTGCCATAAGACCCCCCCCCCCCCACCTCAGGCACCCGGAGTATAGTCCAATCCACCAACACAAATGCAGAATCGAAAGTAACGAAATAAAAGGGGCTAAGCGTACATCCCAATAGATACAAGGTTTTCTGTTCTATACCCTCATCGATTCAGAAAAAATGAATGTTATGATTTTCCAATTAATTCAGAAAAATACTAGTAGACTGCCTAATCAATTGTGTTAAGTCAATGAGTAATTAAGTAATTGAATCTTCATAGCTACTTGGATTAACCAATCTATTTAAAGGAATTTTCTGCCGTTGCGAGTCATTTATTATCAGTAAAATATCGCTCACGTTTGTAAAAACTTGGTAGATTAACTTGCCTGTTAGGACCAGGTAGTGACGCAACAGGTGTAGCGGTGGATTCTTGATCTCTATTCTTTTTCAAGTAGATAATCGTACCGGTACAAATTGCTAAAATAAACACACAACCCAACGAAACAAATGCTGGAAGTAGATATTCACTTGAAGAGGCTTTCATTACGTTATTTTCATTCGCAATACCGCCGCATTCAGATTCATGTACGTTTGTATTATTATCTGTTAAATATTCCGAAAGTGTTGACGAACATGTTTGACATTCATTTCCACTTGTGTTCGCAACAACGCAGTAAGATGTTTCGTTGCACCGGTTGTAATTTGACAGAAATGTTATTCCATCCGTCATAGTAGTATCTGTACATGTAATAGTTGTCCACTCGTTGAGTTCTTCTGTTGAGTAGAAATTTTGGCAAATTGGAACTACGATGATAATTGCATCAAATGATGAAATATCATTGACGGCACAGTGATATCTCGAAACATCTTCATGAGAACTAACATTCCTAATTATCAATGTGCTTTTGGTTCGCATACCATTAATCGTCACTGAAACATTATCAAAAAGTGACGTTTCATTCAGCGTCAATGCTGATGCAAACCTCTCTCCCCGCTTTAGCTGAAACCAAACTAATTTGAACCATGGTTCAGAGAATGTGCATTCAATAATAGCATCACATCCAGCGTGAACGAAAATAATATCGGACGATATCTGGGCCTGGAATGTCATCGTTGAGCATTCAGAATAAAGCAATTGTATAAATACTGCAAACGAGAACACCCTTACACACATCATTTTAAGCGCTTTTAGTCCTTCGGGATATGTTAAACGTTGGCTTTCATGTTTTGCCTTATTTCTTGCAAAAGGTAGACAGGAAATAAAATATTAGTTCCGTTCAGTCCTACACATCCATTTAAAGTGCAATCAGGTGTTGACAAATTATTACAGCGTGACTCATTCATTTCGTTTCAGATAAACACTAAAAAGAAGTTAGGTCACAATTGTCAATGCTATGGTTGAATAGTTGTTTCCAAAAGTAAAGTAAAAACTGTAGCATTCAAACATGACAGCCGCCATTCTTCTTACCTCACCACTCGATTTATTCACTCGAGGGCCCGGGGTCCCCAGGGGTCCAGCCAAAATTTACTATTACTTTTGTTAAGCAGAAATGGCGCTGATGAACCGAATGCCGGGGGTTACGGCGACCGATTGGGACGTTCATCAGATCCCTTCCCCGCTGTTATAACCACACTGATGGATAGGCCTGTAGGAATACAGAATGTCCCACAAAATTAAACCAAAACTAAACACCACGATCCATTTAACTTCCTTAGATTAGTTTACTAGCTTTTTTTCTATGTAGGTTTATTATTTTTCGGTAATGCTTTTTGCGCATTGTAGCTTATGATGCTAAAATAATGCACAATAAAATTGAATTAAATTTTTTTTAAAGAGATATATATTTTTCTTCCTGATGCTAACAATAACTCTATAATAATTCCTATATATAATCATAATAATCCTGATGGGTAGATTGTGTCTAGTGTCAAAAAAAGGTAATGATTTTCACTAATGATGTTCCAGAGTGCTTGCCATCCGCAACAGAAAATCTTGAAATTATATATTTTGTGTACAATTGTTGTTTATTTTACCAATAAATAAATAACTAAATAAATTTTGCTATAATTTACTTCCCCGTTGAATCCAGTTAATTGACGTATGTGTATTTAGATAGATAGATGTCTTCACAATACACTGCTAACCAACCATAGCATTGGAAATTGTACACAAAGCAAGCGGAGAGCAAAATGACTGTTTCTTTTGTCGTGTGTTTTCACTCATATAGTGCCCATGTGGAAAGAAATGAATAAAGTTCACAATGTATTTATTTTCAACCTCGTTGCACTTCAGAATAAGTTCCGACCCAGAATAGTCTATAAGGAAATAATAATATATATTTGTTAGACCTAGCCTACAAAGGAAACGATAACTGTTAGCAAATACGGATGGATTTTAAACGGTTATGATGAATTGTGTAAGATCTTTCTCGTCTGCAGTGGTTCTCTTTATACAATTTCTTTACTTGGGATGCTCTGGCACACAATCTGCTGATATATCGTTCGAGATAGCTTTTGTATACGCTGGATGTGATGCTACAATTCAATGTTCATTCTCTGAACAACCGACTAATGTAAGCCTAAGTTGGTACCTGATACCGCCCGGGCAAGGTGATCCAGTAACATTGGTGATGAATGGGACATCGCATCGTGATAGGGTTTCTGCTATGATCAATGACATGAGAACCACTAGCACATTGACAATTAAGAATGTAACTGCTGATGAAGATGATGGACAATATTACTGTGAAATCAGTTCAACTTCATCTAAATCTTCGAAAGCCAATATTTCAGTAATTGAAATTGGCCAAGTTTGTTGTTCACCAGACCAAAGCAATGAGTTTACAATCGATAAATGTACAGATACTACAATGAAGAATCTGACTAACATTTCTTTAATGTATAACAAACTATATAATTCAACATCAAATTGCGTCGTTGTTGGCAAAACTGGAGCCAAATGCCAAACATGTTCGTCTGTACTTTCTGAATATTTGTCAGATAATGAAACAAATGTACTTGGATCTGATTGTGGCGATGACGAAACAAAAACCTCTTCAAGAAAATTTCTACTTCCAACATATATTACTTTGGGCTGTGTTTTCATTGTGGTAGTTTCTACCTGTATGATCATTTATTTTCTCAAAAGGGATACAAATCAGGAATCCACTGGAACACCTGTTACGTCACCACATGGTGGTCGACTTAACAGGCAGGTTGATCTACCGAGTTTCTACAAAAGTGATCAACATTATGCTGGTAATTAATGAGAGCCAAGGAGAAAAATCTTGTAAATAGA